GTTCTAATTCTAATACACATCAATACAGATATCAAAACATAATTGATTTATAAACCAGTTTTTATATAAATAGATAGCCATAAAGTATAAATATAGGAACCTTAATTGACATTGGTAAAAAGATATATATAATATAGTCAAAATATGCTAGCCGAAAAATTCGACTATAAATAAACATCCAGGGCCGGGCCTGAGTTTTCGTAAAATTATAACTGGCTAAGCCTGGGGGAAAATTAAAAATGGTCGGGGTTGGATGGGATGGATAAACATTAAAATAACGGGTTGGGCCAGGTTTTGCAGATATCTGATTAAGTTATTATATTATATTTTAATTTTTTAAATAATAACTCTTTCTCATAGCCTATTTAATTCTTGAATAAAAATATAAATTATAAATAAGTTTCCTATATTAATAGCTATTTTATTTACCATGTATATTAAATTATATAAAGACTAAAATTGTGCAATTTGACTAAAGATAGACATTATTATAATTGGTGAATAATTTTTGAACATTACTTTTCTTTTGTAAACTAGTTATATGTATTTTTAAGAGATATAAATGATTTTGAAATTTAAATAGGAAATATGAGAAGTAAAAGAATTTAATATATCATTCTATGATACAATTTTAAGATACCCCCCCCCCACCCCGGGTGTATATTAGGCCGCCCTGGAATTATAATTTAAAAAATATATGGCCTGGCCCGTATGCTAGAACAGGGCTATGGTCTGGGCCAAAATTTTTTTATATATTTAGTCAAAATTATAATTATATTAATCTTAACCAATATATACTTTTTTAACGTTATCCTAACATCTTCCAGTTGGTTCAGAAAAAAATCTAGTCCCGCAAAGGATTGAACTTTAATCTTTGGATTCTTAATCCATATCTCTAACCTTCTAACAAACCTTTCACTTTAAAAATAATATTTTTTGGGCTTTACTATAGTCAAAAATGATTTAAGACTTAATATCTAAAATAATTTTGACAGGGGCGTCACTAGTCTTTACAATCCCATTACTAAAGAAATTTTATGGGGCGATATTGGCCCTCATGATCCCTATTTTGCGGCCGGGAAAATTTTTTTAAAATTTATCATACTTTTGAATTGAAATTTGCAAGCTCTGAACTAGTATCAAAATTTGATATTTAGTCATTTATTAGGCAATACTAATACTAGCATATAAATAAGTAAAACAATACAATACATTTGTTAAGCGAAAGATAATATTTTTTAATAAAAAATATTTGCCTATTTATTACAGTATTAAATATTTACAATTACAGAATATATATTATAATTTATAATATCAAAGAGGATTTAATATTTTGCAAGTAAAGAATTACAAAAGTATTAAAAAAATATCATTTTTTTCCTTCATTATGCAATATGCCTTTATATGGATTGTTGGTACTAGCAATCAGATTTGTCACAGCATCCTAATCAGATTGCATGCTTATATTTAATTTTATCTTTAATTACATTAGAAAATTTAATACCATCAGAGATATGATCGAGCCTCACATATAGCTTCTATTGTTTTACAAATAAAATATCTTATATTTAAATTAATTTACATATTTTCCTTCTCTTAACTTTTTTGCTTTCAATATTATCTCTCAGTAATACAATTGATCTTCTTTTATTATATAAAGCATGGTTTGAAATTAAAAACTTTATTTAAATGTGCTTTACTTAACTACAACCCTTTCATTACCTCATCTTCCCTTTGTCTAAAATATCAATATCAGTATTGCTTCCATTTCCATTATTTAAAGTATTCATCTTAAAATCAATATCTCTTCTTTCTTTATTATCTAACAAATATAAAATAGATGAATAAAAGATGTTCTGTTAAATATACTTTGTTCGACTTCAATTTCATTGCCTCCTCTTCTTTTTGTCTAAATTATTATCAACATCAATATTGCTTCCATTTCCATTATTTAAAGCTATCTCAAACTCAATATCTCTGTTTCTTCATTATCTAATAAATATAAAATCACCTTAACTGTTTTACACACTTTTCCACAAGATTACATTTATCGTATGAATCATTACTTGCATTACTTTTGGTTAAGCTATAAGTTTCCAATATATTATATTTTGTAGTTAATACTTTAAGAAACATATGTAAAAAATATTAAATGATAAGAATAAATGTATTTTGCTAAAGGTAAAAAATAAAAAAAATACCAGAAGTGATTTTTATATTTCATTAATTTCCTTGTTTGCATATTATAGACTTTTTTTGAGGAAGATATATCAAACCTGGAATATTTTCCAAAAGATAAACATAGGTAAATAATTATTTAATTTATATAAAAACTACAACTTTGCATTAAGGCTTTAATTTAAAAATTTATATCAGTTAACATTGATATCCCGTTAAACCTCTCGTATCATATTTTGCAACTTTTCATAATGGGATAAAAACTGAAAATAAAACCATTGAATAATAAATTGTTAGTTACCTAATGAAACAACATATATCAGTTCTTTTTCTGCAAATGCATTTATATATTTTTTAAACAAGAGAACGATATATTACCATTGAATAGAATTTATAGACTCTGAAATTTCATTTTTTAAAAATTAATTAAGAGTTTAATTTAGAGATGCAGAACAAAGACATATCTCTGTTCCTATTCTAGTCCTGTTCCGTTCCTCCCTTAACAAAGACAATTTGCGATTTATAAATGTATACAAATATTATTTTGACTAATCTTTATGATTAGTATAAATCAAATCAATTATTATATATATTTTATTAATATATTCTCCAAAAATATACGGACATGAAGCAAACCGAACCGTTTAACTAGGATGATAAACTTTAATAATTTTCTAAATCGTCACCAAATAGCTAAAAGTAACGAATTGACCTATATAATTTTTCAAACAAATTGTAATTTGAGGCAATATAACTGTTATTTTAATGAATTATTTAAAAAAAATTACTTTATATCAATTATATATTATTAATTATACAACAATAATAAATATCGCGCCCCAGTCTAAATCGACCCTTGAGAATTCTCTATTAATTATAGGCCCAATCCGGTATGTAATTATTTTTATCCGTCTCAGCCCATAAAATATATTTTATATAAGTTGTCTATGAAGGAAACATTATTAACTTTAAAAGCATTTACAAAACTTCAACCCACTCCACAAAAATTTTCCCGCCGAGGTTTCAGAATTATGCCGGGTAGGCCTAAATTTTAATAAATATAACACATGATTTACGCATTTTTGCAATACTTGGTAAAATATATTAAAAAATTGTATGAGAAACACTTTTTATTGGAATGGAAACAAAGGATAATCAATATCTTTAGCATTTCATATGTTCATTGCACCTTTGCGGAGTAGAAGAACTTTGCAACGTTGCTATACTTTGCTCAAGGTGCGAAAATAGATATAAAGATCAAAATAAGGTGTAAAATAACTGGTTCTTTTATCATAAAAAATATGTATGTACGGTAGCAATAAAGACATTGGTGAGTTATAATACTCGTAAAACCATTTGCTAAACAACGAGCAAGTTTTATTAAAATGTAATAAGACCCACTTTTTAAATATTTAAAAACAGAATCACGCGGTCGCCCTCCGATATTCTATATATTCCCCCCCCCCAATCCATCATATGGAACCATCTAGTTCGCTTCAGAAAAAAATATGGGCCTTGATAAATTCGAACCAAAATTTATGCGATTGATAATCTAGTTCATAGCCGATTAGGCACTAACGATATATAAAAAGATCGATTATTTATGTATATAATGATAAATAATTGACGTGTTCAAATATTTTAAGAAAAATACATAAATAACAACTCCCTTATGACGGGTAGAATCATTAATCCAAAGCATGATGTAATATGCTAGTTATATTATACACATATAAATCTGAACAAATTTTTTGAATAAAATTGTTGTTAGTTTAGATAAAATATATATTTATGCAAATGGCATATTGAAGAATTTAAACATTTGTGGAATAAAAAATATAATTTGAATAATAAATTATCCTGAAAAGTTGTCTTTTATTCAGCGATGAAATATATAGTAGACCGGGGAGCATGCGAGCCCTAAAAAGTAAACGCCAATAAAATTAAAACTACTTTATAATATTGATATCTCATTTTATTCTACTTATTTACTGTTATGTTATACATGAAATAATTTTTTTTAAAAAAATTATACATTTTTAACAGTATTAATTTTATCAAAAAAAAATATGGGAAAAGATGAGCTACACCCGGGGTAGGATGAACCTTCCTATAAGGCGCTTTTGAGCTACAAAATATTGTTAATTGGTAACGAAATTTGCAAATTTTAATTATTAATTTTATAATAAAACACTTAAAATTTCAAGTTTTTTATGCCTTTATTAATTAAATTGGCATATGTGAGCAAACTGGAATATAAAAAAAATGAATATGTGCTAGTATAAATAATATATATATAATTATTTAATTAAATAATTGAATTAAAATTTTCTTATTATATTTCTGAGCTATTCCGGGAAAGTTCTGGATTAACCATTCCCAATCCGTTAGCTAAAAATTTTTAATAAACAAACTGAGCATATTTTTTATTGCTTGAATGAAAACTTTTTAAGACTGTGCTATCTTTCCATCAACTCATATTGCATAAATAATTTGCTTGATTCCAATTATTTTACTTCCCAAATGGGATTAATCTATTTTTCAATTTAGTGGATGGTATCTGAAGCCACTTAGCCTCCTCACTTCCCCCCCCCTCGGTCCCAATATAAGTGACTATAATTTATAATAATTTTAAAAAGATGATTAAAGATAACGCCATAAATGAAAAATTAAATTTGCATAATTTAAGTCCTTGATATAATAATATATCAAATATTTTTGTTATATTTTTGAGAATTTTTTTATAATTTATTAGTTTAAATAAGCAGGAGACTTCTTATTTATATCATTAAAATATTCTATTGTTAAGATTTTATTCTCAAAATTGCAATTTTATTTAAAACCATATTGCTGAATTTTCTTAATTTAACGGGATTAAAGATTATTTTTTTAAATATAATTATCAGAAAACGATTGAACTCGTTATGAGTATTCTTTTTAAGCTTTGCATAAGTTTTTGGATTTTGATTATCTATAGCAAAAAAATATTTACTAATAGAGCACATTCCCTTGATTCCAAAGACACTGCTCACCCAAATCCACCTTTGATATTCTCTGGAGGATTCATTACTTGGAAGTCCTTAAGCGATTTCCCCAGAAAAGTTTATAAATACACTTATATAATCTTATTATACAATGGTAATATTTTTATTTCTTACGTTCCTTTTTTATAGTAGAATATTTTGTGAATATAATTAACATATTTTAGTTTATTAAACAATAATAATTTTTTATATCGCATAACTAGATTAAAGATACAATGCTTATTATTGTTAACTATAAATTTATTTGCATATAAAAATAAATTTATTAAAATTCAAATACTGATCATTTAATCAAATAGTAGTTCAAGTTCAGTGGTCTCGGAATTTATCTTACTTAGACATTTTTCTTATTCTCGTTATATTCATTATCATTCCTTCCTTTTCGGTTTTCTCAAATAATTTGCAGCACAACCAAGAGGAGTAGCGACCCCCCCCCCCTCCCCCCATATATCTTTATTATCTGTATGTGTAAGATTTCGAAATAAAAATGTAATATCTACTCAAAGTTTTTTGGTGAATTTAAATAAAAATACTGAATTAATTGATATTGATTTAATCTTACATTATTTACAAAACTTATTTGCAAAAATAAGTTCCGGTTCACGTTCCAATCTAATCTTTGCATTAATCATCTCTGCAAGTCTCATTGGAATTGCAGTCTAAGAGATATTCACATGAGCACAATTAACAATGAAATAATTTTCCCCTATTAGCTCTTACCTTTTTTTTCTGTTTTTTAGCTCAATTTAGCTAGAATAAACATAATTTATTGAAATTAATATACAAATAGATGAGTGTTTTCCTTTCTTAGAGCTCTTACACTTTTTTTTAGAATTATATAAAAGGATAGTTTTTGATCCCTTAGTAAGTCATATTTCTTTCCATAATAAATCCTATAGTGATGGAATAAAAATTTAAGCGGGTAGGTATAGATCATCACTATTTTGAAACTATTATATCTCAAAAAATTTTATATTAAGCCTTGATATTTAGACATTTATTGAGTTAATCATATATTAATTATAAATATAAGATGATTTAAATGAAATAAAAATCTATGAGAATTTTTGTAAAGACTGTCGAAAATAAAATAAAAATGCCTTAAATATTGTATTTCATATTTTACTATAAAAATCTGTTCAAACAATAATTAAAATTGTGTTCATATTCAAATGTATATAGGAAAGACTGGCTATTCGAACCAATTTTTGCAAAATCGGCTATAACTCCTATGTTTTTTTAGAATTATAAAGAACAATATATGAATCGATACATATAACTACAAAGGTAGCTTATAAATATTTTCTAGAAGATAATCATATTTTGTAATTTTATTTTTTGCAAAAGTTAAAATTCTGCCCAACAAACCCCAATAGCGGGGTTAGGCAAACCATTGCAAGGGGCTTCCTGAATCATTAGTTTTTTGTAGGTTAGGATGAAATGAAACGCATTTTTATTCATTTAATGATAGGTATATAATTTTATTATTTTATTGTTCAAAATATCATAATCAATATCATAATACTTTTAAATTGAAGCGAATTATATATATAAATTGAAACTTAGTTTTGGTTGTTTTAATAAACATTTTAGACATATAAAAATAAGGATCTTAAGGAGAGATTATAATTTCTTAGCATAAATCCTAAATACCAATCATACACTCCAAGATTTTGAAATATTTATTTTATATTAACTGGTACAATTGATGTGTATGGTTTTAATCAATTCAATATATATATTTTTTTATTTAATTATACATATGATTTTAGCAAAATGCTACAAAACTTTAATTTGGATTTAAGGGAGGTTATGAATAGATCAAAGGATAAATATTAACAAATATCAGAGTGAATGTGGATGAAAAATTTCATGAAATATATGAGAAAGTAAAGGAGATTGCTAATAATATGTTTGGGATTGAAATGTTTAAACCTAGAGTAGTTTCTAGACAATCCAATCGTTAAAAATTGATGCATCTACGATTGAGGATTTTCATAAAATACATTTTTATTTCAATTAAAGGAAAGATTTATTAGTCATAATTTTATTTTAAAAAGCTTTTATTTTCTTTTGCCGGTTGAGAAACTGTTGATTACACTTGAAACATGAGATATTAAGAAAATCTCAAAGTTTTACGCCGATGATTTAGTTGGCTCGTATGATAAGTTACTTTGTGCAGGGGCGTTGCTAGCCTTTACAATCTCAGGGGGCTCAACTAAAAAAAATTTATGGGGGGCGAAGCCCCCCTTACTTTCCAATTTCCCGCTTTTGCCCTGCCTTCGGCCGGGTTTATTATTAATATATTATACTTTTTTAAAATTTACTAACTCTAAATAATTATTCTGAATGTCATTTATTATATTTTGCATACAAAATAAACTAGCATATAAAAATAATACAAGACATTTCTAAAAATAATATTTTTTAATTTTTCGATTTTGATATAAAATGATTTTGCGTTAATTAATTCATATATGCCTCAATTGATAATAGTTTTTGAAAACTACATAATATAATATAATTCTCAGCAACTTACATTGACAAAAGGTCATGAAACTAATATAACTCCCTATTACCATTTTAGACAATGTTTTATAAGAATGGACTAATAAGAAAAAATTTATAGACCTTACCAAATCCACAATTCTTGAAGAAGAGAATATAAACGACCAATACAAATCATAAAACTATATGGTGGTTAGAGCTTCCTCTTAGATGACATGATGGAAGCTAGATAAGTAATCGAGAAAATTATTGTATGATATTAAATTTCTAAAAGATTATCTTCCATTTTCAATGTTATATAAACGACTACACAGTTGACCTATTGCTTATCTAAGATAAGATGCTGGTTAATTTCCAGTCCTATCCATGACACTCACGATGGTAACCCATCACAATTGATTCTGTTAGATAAATTGATAAAACAAAAACATTAAAACCTTTAGAAGAAATTATGCAAATGCCTTGTGTTATTTACACGGCAAGGATGCCATATTAGAAATGAAACATTTTGTAACTACAAAATAAGAACCAGAGTGATATCATGAAAGCAATTAAGATTTTATATGTTATTGTCGCACCATCTCTAGTTGGTATATTATATCTTAAAATAATAGTAGTTTGTAATAATATCAAAAATATATTTGTATTAAAGATTTAACTCAAATCTATTTTAGAAGAAGAAAATGATAAATTCAATTATTAATTTTTTTTGGTCATAGCTTTCCTAAAAACACGTAAAAAAGAGAAGAAAAGATATCTAATTTATTACATCAATTGTGGGTTGAATAATAATACGTTTAACTTTAATTATAATTTAAATAAATAGATGGCGTTAAATATTTGTAAGCAAATTGTTACTTATATTTATTATCAAAAGCATTTATTAGTAAAATTTTAAATGTAATATATTATATAAATGTCAGATACGTCTGTAAAAGTGGCATTTTACCTAAAATTTTATAAAAAATTATATATAATAGAGGATTATAAACAATGTCTACTTACTTTTTATAAATAAATCTCTAATACTTATTTGGATTTGGACCTTGAAAATAATTTTAGGAAGAGACATGATAATTAAATTAAAAAATCAATAATGTAGTTGATTAGTGATTTTGAACTCGGCTAAAATATTAAATTATTAATTTTCAATTACTAAATGTATATTTATTAGGGTTATATAATAATTTAAATAATAAAAGTCAATTAAGCATCAACTGTTAAAGCTAAATTAATATTTAGTGAGTGATATTGTTATATTTTTAAGACAGAATTTGATTGCAAGCTGACATTGTATAATTTATATGTAATAATATGATCTAATAATTAAAATAGTATTCATTTAATAAAAATTAAGATAGTCTTATTAATTTTTTAATAAAATTAAATCTATATATTACTCAATAAAATTATAAAAGAAATTATTCAGAGGGCAATTAAAAAAATTTATTTTTAGCTCAAGGAGATATTAAGGAGCCATTAAAAAAAAAATTTGCTTCAGCGGGCTATTCAAATTTTTCAGGGGGCTCGAGCCCCTGCCCGCTTTCCCCCCCCTAGCGATGTCACTGACTTTGTGATATAGGATTTTGGTATAAAATGATTGACAGGGAGTATTCTTTGAGATCAAAAAATGATCTTCAGGTCTGTGTAATGGCACTAAAACATTATTAATTTAGCTACTTTACCAATTTGTACCTGCGATAATGAAAGGTCTTTTTTCAACTTTAAAAAGGTTAAACCTATTTTAGAAATACTACCGTTGAAAAACGTTTAAGTGGATTAGCCCTATTAAATATTTATAAAGATTATTCTAGATAATCATTTGATTTGAATTAGCAAAATTATAAAGAAAAGTAGACCTCACTTTATAAATTCAAATCAAAAAATTGCCATATGATTACAGTTTTAATATATAATATTTATAATCAAATTATTTCGTAAAATGAATTCTTAGTTATAACATTTATATAATTTTTGTATCAACTCTTAAAATTTATGCAATTAATACTATTTTTATTCAAAGTACTTTGTATTATTTATATTTTGATAATATCGTCATATTTTTTTAAATACCATCATTTGCATAAGAATTACTTATATTTTATGTAATTGTTAAATTACATTTTTAAAAAAAATAGAGTATACAATAAAATTTTTAATATTATAATCTGTAAAAAATATCTACATTTTGAAATTTTTTTAAATAATAAAAATAAATACACGATTAAATAAAGGAATGTTATTTATGCTAAAGTATTTTTATATAATAAATAAAATCTACAATGAAATACTCTCTAAAATTTTGTTATATGCAAATATTTAAAATAATTTTAACATAACCTATAAGATATAAGCAATTGAGTGTTCATAAAAAATGGAAGGTTTGGGGACGAAGGCCCCCTTCCCCCAAAAAATTTTAAATCTCCCCCCCCCCCAACCCCATGAAAAATTCCTGGCTACACCACTGTATAAAAGCTATATTAGAATAAAATAAAAACCTTCTAGTCTATTTAATTTTAAAATGAGAAACCCATAGTATTTACCTAACCCTACCTACTTGTTTTCAAATGATAATGTATTTTTTTAAGTTATAAGAATTAAAATGTGCAGTCCGACTTCCATAAGGTTTATATATTAAGTCTCATTCAATAAAAAGGCATGAATCTTCAGAAATGCAGTTAACCAGGCAGTTTATTTGTATTAATAATTAAAATTCTCAATGGCTTTGCTGTATCCCAATATCCCACTCAAGGATTGTCAATTACATATTTATTCTATTACAATTAATATCGGGACTGAATCAACCAAGGATCCGGAATATTTCGGGACCACAAAGTGAAATATTTTGGAAAAAACACAAATGAACCGGTTCTTCTTAAGAAGCAAAGAAAAATACCAATCTCAAAAAGAACTGGAACAGAACATGATATATTATTTATGATCCAGTGATACATTTGACATGTGCCCAAAACAATAATAGGGTATGTTAATTAGATTTATTTTCGATAAACTAGTTAAACCATTCGTGATCCTAGACAACCTCGTGCTTCTAGTGTTTTCATAAATATAATTAAATATTTTTAATTAAAAATAAATTCGCCAAAAACCTAACCCAGGTTTTGACAAAATGCTAAAATTGAAATTACTTTATAGCTTGGAATTGGAATTGATATTTACTCTGAATAAATTTTACTTTCATAAAAAATTTATTATTTTATTTAAAATTAATGAGCATATATTTCTGCAAAACATTTTTAGAACCATAATTGAAGCAACTTATTAAAACACATTTATGGCTTAATTTCAAAATTAAGGTATATTAGTTTTAAAATAATTTGATCAGTAAATATCTGCTCCGGGATAACAATATCACCGGTCTTCCTTATTCCTTTTAAAAGACATAAGATATATGGATCGATTCTTCAGCCAGAATTCTATGACTAATCTTTGAATTATTAAAATTCAAATAAATGAAGTTTATTATTGTCTTTCATAAATAATATTTTAGTATAATATTTCCAATTATGAAACAGCTCCTGCTCCTGTTTTTCATTTCGCCTACCTCAGACAGGTTTTGGTGGGGCGCGTTTTAGCATAACCCTTAATTTTTATTAAAAGAAATTCAACTATATCTCTAAAAACATAGGAAACCACGAGTTTAACCATGGCTAATAATTACACTATAAAAATGAATAACGTTGACTTGTTTTTTATAAGTTATAAGCCATTTAGGTGAACATCGAGGTACAGCCTGACATGTGATATACAAAATATGTATGTAACTGGTAGTGTTGTTAAACGGCTCGTTTTGAGCCGATTTTTAAAAATGGCTAACTCAATATTTCATCCAGAATAATATTACGAAAGCCTGAAGATTTTGTCAGTAGAAGGAACAAAGGTTTGGACATCTATTAGCGAGATCTCGATGGTTAGGCAATATTTTTCTGGCTATAATATTGAGTTAGCCGTTTAACAACACTAGTAACTGGTATAAACATAATATATTTGAATACTTTAATTTATTTTCATAGAATTCACATTTTTATGTTTAAAAAAAAACACGCACCACGAAAGACTAAAACGTCCCCAAGGGTGTTTTAATAGGGGAGACTGGGATTGGGTAAACCCTGGAGCTTGGCAAACCACTTAATCTCATTTTAAAATTAAATATACCAGAAGGTTAAAATTTTATCATAATATAGTTTTTTTTAGTTTACATCTATAGACAAAAAATCTGTTGAAATAATTCATTATTAAAAATTTTATTTAAGAAATAAAATTATGGTGAAATTTTCAAAAGATTTTTACATGACAGAATATTTATATGTAAATTAAATTTTATAGCAAAGTTTAAACACTCTTCTATAATTTTGGAAAGTTTTATGAGTATTTATTGTATCTAGATATTATTTCAATCATGATTTGTCAAATTAAAGCTAGCGGGGCTTGCTAAACCATACATGTCAATGATGGCAATTGATAATGAAAAAAAATTCAAAATCTTGAAAGGAAATTTCATGTGTTTATGATTGGTATTTAGGATTTATGCTAAGAAATCATAATCTCTCCTTAAAATTCTTATTTTTTTTATGTCCAAAATGTTTATTAAATTAACCAAAATTAAGTTTCAATTTTTATATATAATAAACTTCAATTTATAAGTATTATGATATTTTGAACAATAAAATTCTATACGTATCATTATTAATAAATAAAAATGCATTTTAATTTATTATGGCCTAAAAAATCAATGGTTTAGGAAATCCCTAAAATGGTTCGCCTTACCCCGCTATTGGGGTATTTTGAACAAAATTTCCACTTTTACAAAAAATAAAATTTAAAAAAAATGATTTTATTCTTAAAATTTTTTATAAAGCACCTTTATAGAGTATAGTTTTAGGTATCTAATCATATATTATTTTTTATATTATCTAAAAAAACAGGAGCTATAGCCAATTTTGTAAAAATCGGTTCGACTAACCCCAGTCTCCCCTAATTCTTATTTTCATTTTTTTTAAAATATCTTAATTATTTGAATAATGTGCTTTGGCTATTTATTTCATAGTTTTCTGACTAATTAACCATATTCTTCTTGCCATAAATTTAGACTTACTCAAAATGAGATTATTGCTATAGTATACCTTAAACAACATATTCATAATAAATTAGATAAGCGATTTACAATTAGATCTTCAGATATTTTTAAATTTATAAATATGCCATTATAAATATGCCAACTTGGAATTGATGCCATCTTACCGACGCCTATTTTCTATTATGGAATAAAATCTGTCAGATTATGTAAACCATAATTCTTTTAAAAGACTCCATCGCCTGTTAAGATTATCGGCCCACAGGTCTTGTTTATAGCCGAAGTTTATAATAATTTTTTAAATATTAAATATTTTATTTTTAAAATGATTCATCATAGATAGAATTTTCATTCAGTTATTCCATCGTTGGGCAAAATTCTAAATACGATAAAATCTGCCATCAAAATCCATCCAGAAACAAAGTATCTGATTTTTTAATAAGCCAAAAATTATCCAAAAAAATAAATACTGAATATAATATTTATTTTTATAATAAAAAAAAGGAAGGAATATGGTTAGAATGCTTAAAAGGTTGTACTGGAATCATAGGGAACTTGATGGAAGACAGTTGCCCCGTTACTAATGGAACTTTTGTGAGCAAGTGGAAAGTTAAATCAATAACTTATCAGTTTAAAAACGATACTGATCGATTTGATTTAAAGTATAAAATATATATTTTTGACAATGTATTTTCATATATTTACATAGTATTTATTAACTATAATAATATCTATAAAAATGTTTTTAAAAGTAATTATATAAACTTTCAAAAAAATTAATTTTAAGAAAAACATAATTGAGTTCCAAAAAAAGAACAATAGTTTGAATGTTTTGCTTAAGGAATAGGAATATCTAGGTTTAAATGTTTACAATTATTTTTGTGAACTTAATTTTTTTTTAAACTAAAAGTTATTAGAGCGAACTGTCCATTGGTAAACGTTGCTAATGGTGACCATATTTAATTACTGAGGCTTGTATTTATGATCACCTCACTTTTTTTTCAATTTTGAAATTGAAATAACTCCAGTGGTCGATCTTGAGATTAAATTTTAAAAAAATATAAGGTGTTTTTCCTGTAAAGTTTGACTTTTATGATTTAAACTTACTGACCCCTCTATTTCTGTTATAATAAATAAGATGCATGGGAAAGATATTTTTAGCAGATAAATTTATTTTTGCATGTTTCAATAAAATGGATCACATTCATCGAAATTTAGAATTTTCTTGAAATAGCCTGATGAATGTTTATGAAAATGATTTTAGAAGGGTGCACATAGGCTTGTGCTTCCTGAAAAATTTGAAAAGCCCCTGAAAATTTTGAATTTTTTTTAAAAATACTTTAAAAGAAGGTCTTTTTAAAGATAAAAGTAGCTCAACTCTTAATCTTTAAAATGAAATTTGAATTTAAACTTTATCTATAATTTTTGAATTAGATGAATTTATTTGAAAGTTTATTATAAGGGTAATCAATACATGGCATGTTATGACTGGCCATATAACCTGTGTTACTTACCACCCCATTTTATCTTATTTCAATTTTCTATTATAACATAGAATATTACAATATAGAATATGTGTATAAGGACCTAAAGTTAATATTTCTTGTGTTTATTTAATAAAAATAATTATCCAGACTTTCTATTTAATGATATAATATTTTATCTTGATAATTATCTTAAACTGATGATCAATCTGTTACAATAACCATATTTTATTTTATGTAATATAAAATAAATATAAACCTCTCAGTTAATATAAAAACACATTAACATATTTAAGGTTTTTTGCTCAAAAGAATATCAACATATTTATATTTCGGCTTTTTAATTAAATTATTCTTCCAAAATTAGTCATTTACTAAAAATCTAAAATATTTTATTACAAGTTCTGACCATAAATGATATTTAAAATTAATATTGAAGTTAGGGATTACTATTTTAAGGGCGGGAGAGAGGGGGGGGGGGTGTGTTATGACTCGATATTATCACTTAAATTGACTAGGGTAGAGTTATGAAAACTTTATTGTTATTTGAAATAAAATTGGAAGGGGAGGGGGGAGCGTTAATTTAGTTGCTAATTTTGAGTTGGTAGGGGGTATGAAGAGGTAAGGAAGATATTTCTTTATTAATTTGGGGGAAGGGGTGGTTAAATCCCTGATATGAGTGATATGATGATGTTAATGGAATTTCGTAATAATAAAAATCGACTTCTTTAAATTATCTCATTTTAATTTACATAGTAAAAATTGGAATTGAATTAGTTCCATATTACCTAACTCTTAGCATAGCCGAAACGTTTTCAAATTCAGTAACTTTAAATAAAAATATGATAAAAAATATTTTAAACTTTTATTAGAAAGAACTCCGACCCCCCCCCCCCCTCCCTCCTCTTTTAAAAAAATGATTTTTTTAAAATATCGATAAGTAACAAATAATTTTCAATCACCTAAATCTAGCATGGGTGATTGCCTACCTCCTCCATTATGACTAAAACTGGTTCATGTTGATATCCTGTTCCCTATTTTTCTTAAATTAAAAAGTAAATTCGACTCAGAATGTCATCCGGCCTGGTGAGCGTAATTTAAGGTATTCGAGAACCAAAAGATTTTAAAATTCTGACCACTAGTGTTGTTAATATGCCAGGTCGCAAACATCCCAATTTATTTAGAGAATTTAATCGCAAAAATCTATCTCGATTTACTCGAATAATTAAAATATTTGTTTGAATTTCATTTTTAAGTTAAAAGATTTTTGGCTCGACCCACTACATTGAATGCTCTTTCCCAATTATATTCATGAATATGATGGTCTACTTAATTCTAAATATCTTTTAACCCCCAAAACTGGTTTGCAAATCAGTAAAGATTTTTTTAGTTAGATACTAAAATCTAAAGGGCATTAATTGATTTAGCATATTAATAAATAATAGAAATTTTTATAATTTCCAAAAAATTTGGTTTAGTCATTTTAGAACTACTTATAATTATACTAGAAATATAAGTTTGTAGAGCCAATTATATTATATCAGATAAAATAATGCAAAAAGGTAAAATAAATCTATTTTTAAGGTCCGAAAGTTACCATAAGACTTGGTTTCATTTAAATATAGGTTTAAAAATATATTTAGGAAAACGAGCCTTGCTTGAATATGATATAATTTTAAAGGTGGCAATGTAATAATATTTAAGTATGGGATTATTAGGACCGATTCACAATTATAAAACAAATTAAATACATAAAGAATAAAAGGCTGCTGCTGGCGTATTTTGGCTAATCATAAAACGAATCTACCAATAAATTTTAAAATATCAGGATCCTTCGACGAATTAAAAGATTTAAATAACATAAAACCAATGATTTCCACTCCATTGATCGATATTTCACCATTGATATTATTTGCTATAGAATGCTCTCAGTCTTATATAATACCAGGTTTTTAATCTCTTAATCTCATTCATTAAACTTTTATAAAATAGTTATTGATTTTGGCAATAATTTAGTAGCCTGCTCTATTGCATCAAATCCTCTAAATCTACAAGGAATATCAATAATTAAGGTTTTAAAAATATATGATATACAATTATAATAGATTATTTTTATTAGTCTGATACCAAGGTTAAAACTTTTAGTATTCTCAATCATAACTATAACATGATAATTTGCCTTTAACAACTTTATTAAAAATATAGTCGTTATAAACAAAATATTCAATTTTATATTTTATTTATATTAATTCTTAAAATTTTACTAGGAAGATTGCCTATTGTTTTATGCAACATCTGATAATAAAGAAGGATATTACCCTATTATAATTGAAGTTAATAACTTTCATTCTAACATTGACAGCGAGGATCTTATCACATCCACTGAAATTCAGGTCCTTGTAAAAATGTATTCTATAAGAACATTAACCAAAGGCCTATCAGCCTACGTTGATGCTATCCCAGAAAATAGTTTATGTTTTTCTTATAAACCTCAAATAATAAGCCCAAACAATCATACTTGTATCTCAATAATTCCAGGTCAATCAACTAAATTTAACGTTTCGATTCTGATGAAAAATAGCACATTTTATAAAAGGTTTAATATTTTATTGATTATTAACTAACCATTTTGTAAAATATAATTTGCATGACCATAATTTTATTATTATCATATGAATATACTATGCACAAGTTTAAATAATGATTTTTTACATCTCCTAAAGTGCCGATCATGCTAACTTTTTTTTTGATAAAACGAATTTGATATTAGACTAGACATCCATAAATCAAACTGACAATTGAAATATATATATTGGGTGAGAGGTAGGAATGATTAATATAAAATATAAATTAATAATCATAGAACAGTTACAGGAGTATCGAATTAAATATAATAAATCTTATGAAAGCTAAATCCTTTCATGATTGTAAATAATATAATAAAATCGTTATGAGTTAGCGATAAATTGAAAATCAAGAAAAGGGGAAAATAACATCGTAAATCACGAAAATTGTGAATACCACAAAATTGTGAAAAACAAAAAGTTGATTTCATTATTCAACAACGTTTATTCTCTGAGTTTATTATAGAGAGATGAGAAAGCTTATAGCAACCTCGTAATGGTATTTTTTGTAAATCTCTAAAGATCATGCCCAATTTTGGGAATAAATAAATGTAAGAATTTTATATCTAAATATTTTGTTTATAGATATCTTACTTTCAAAATTTCGACATTTCAATTCGAGATTTTTCCTTTTAATTCCTTCTGCATAAAAAGTAACTATATAGTATATGGAAGTCGCGTAGTATAATACAATAGGGCTCGGACCTAATAAAAAAATTTCACACATGAAGCAATAATACACCTTTTGAATTTATAAATAATTTTATTTTTCGTTTATATTAGAAATAATATATTATAAATTTAAAAATTAATGTCTTATTAAAAATACATTTCGTTTTTAGTTTATGGGTTGTTTTCAGAGTTGTTAAAAGATACTTTTTAAATGGATCTAGATACAGATACATAGTCTCAAAAGTTATCTAGATACAGATACAGCGTCTAAAAAGTTATCAAAATACAGATACAATTTGTAAATGTATCTGTATACAGATACATTTTTTATTATGCTCTTATAGGTTTGCATAAACCAAAATTAATATTATATTGTGAAAAGGTCATGGTAAAGCAATAGAACTTGTTGTTGCTTCCTCTTTTTCATCGATATAGATCTAAATAAATATATAAACTTAAAAATTTAGTTATAAAATAAAATTTACCATTTCCATATTGTAATATTAAAATTTGTATGGTTTATTGATAAACTCGGGACATAATATTTAAATTAATGAATATTTATATATATTTTTTATATATAAGTTTTAATATTTTATATATATAAAATTCTTTATTATAGTATTAATAAATATTAATATATAATATATATATATTTATTTATTTCATAAGCTCATATGAAATAAAATAAATTTTACAGTCAAATATTTTTATTTATAATAAAAAAAGGGGTATATAACATGTATCTTAAAAAGTATCTAAAAACAGATACAGATACCTCTAAAAAAATATCTAGATACAGATACCTTTCTAAAAAATCTATCTAGATACTTGTATCTAGATACTTTAACAACTCTGGTTGTTTTAGTTCTTTTGCTTGCTACTGAACCTTAAATAATATTATTTTAGTCCGAAACCTAATTTACATTAAATTTACTTAATAAATTTAGACTTCAAACACTCACAAACGTGTCCTTCATAGAAATAATGATCGTGAGTTAATTAGAAAATGATACACTGAGCCTATGCAAAATATTTATGCATTTATTTTAATGCTTATAATTTTATCATAATATAACGAATAAAAGCAAAAGGAAAGAATTCTTACTGCAAAAGGCATACCCATAAAGAGTAAAGTTAGGAGTCAGTGATGATATAAATTCAATTAATGGTTATATGACAGTTTTGCTTTCTTGATATTAAATTTTATTTTATAAAATTAAAGACTATTTGTGTATTGGCTAACCTGGTTATTAAACTATAAAAAAACCGAGGTATTATTCCTTTAGGGTATTTATCACTTAGTAAAGGTAGTGCTTTTTATTATTTAATAACCCTGGATAAGATGGAAAGTAACACATTTAACCCACAAAACAAAAAATTATTATAGATATAAATAATTGTGTTTAAAGGAATATTTTAAAAATATTCGTGATTACACATAAAATAGATAATTCCTGGCACAAATAGTATATGTTCATATCGTTGCCCTAGAAAATTCTTGCTTCATAAATTTAACATTTTACCTATGGCCCTATAGCGACCGTGGTGATTTAGTTTAAATGGCTCTAACAACTTTTTTAACCTAAAAACTTCGGACTAGGTTTCGGTAGCTTAGACATTGAGGAATATATCTTTTAAATTTAATAAAATTCAAAAGAGTAATTTTATCTAAAGAATAAATATACCAAATAAAAAAAGTTGGTGGAAATGAACTAAAAAATCGTTTTTGATCAATATCTTTTAGATGAGGAGTTCCCGCTACTAAATGAACATATGGATAGAGTGTATCTCTTGACCAAATTTAAAACAATTAGCTTTAAAGATGAAAAGGTTTAGACGCTTGCCTCTTACCAGCCATATTTAAGGCTAGCTGACAAATAAATGCTGACATGCTATCTCGATTACCTATTAAAAGGAATAACTCTAGCAAATAAAGGTGGGGGAACCAACGCCTTTGAATGAAAGAAAAATTATGTTAGATGATATACTCTCTATAATAATACAGGTTTACAATTGAGAATGATCAATAAACTATGCTACATCACCCTAAAGGTGTATAGCTTAAAGAGAAAATATCAAAATAGAGAGGTTGTTTATTGTGGAGAATAAAAATAATACCACAACAATACCGAAACAACGTGTTTGACATGATGCCTCAAGGACATATTGAAATGGTAAAAATGAAGATAAGAGAAGTTAATAAACCAAGGTATAGAGTCATGGGTAGAAAAATAGCAAAAGATATCAATTCTAAATTAGCCAAACCACCGAAAGCATGCTAACGAGTTAATATTTATTATGCGGAACCATTTCAAAATCATTATTGGTTAGTAGTGCTAGATTCTAGCAGTAGCCCATGACTAATACAACCACCCGAAAGCACGATAAAATTATTAAATAATTTCTTAGCCAGATTCGGATTTCCCAAGATAATAGTTTCTGATAACACAATTCATTAATAAAAAATTCAATAATTTTTATGAAAAAACGAAATATATTTAGTGCATGGAAGTCCATATCATCCACAGACTAACGGTATAGCAGAACATTTAGCTAGAACTTTTAAACATAGCATGATTAAAAGAGGAATAAAACCAGTTTAGATACCTTTCTGTACATTACCGGAATACAAGTGGATTACGAACGATGTCGCAGAAACTATTAAAAACCTAGAGGATTGTTAGAACAAATATTCGAACGGGGGAAAAAGGAAAAGTTAGAATATTATACTCAGAAATGGTCACGCATATACAATAAAGAATAAAATTGGGAAAAGGTATTTATTAAAAGTATACTAGTATCACTAAGATATGAAGTAAGTATAGAATGTAAAACGGCAATAAGTCATGTTGGTCAATTATTAAAATGAACCGAAGATTTATTAAATTAAGAGTACTTATTAGAAAAGATAACTGAAGGCATAAAGAGGACGGATTAAACAATAAAAAAGAAACGAGTCCAAAGGAGTGAGGAAAAGGATACCAGTCAAGAACTTGAAGTAATACTGCAGCGGAGTCAGGAACTACAATAGAGTAGAGTCAAGGTTGTTATCATACAAGAGTAAAGACCAAACCGGTAAGGTTATGGATAGATTTTATGTATTAAAATAACATATTTTTAGAGTTTATTAAACTAATTTTATTATATTTTTGCTATTTGTATATATACAGTAAATATATATAGTTGAGTTAAAATGAATAAAAGAGTTTGAGTTGACATTTACTTTGAGCATATTTTTGATATTACTACAAACTACTATATTTCAAACAATAAACATACTACTATTATTTCAGTCTACTAATACTACATGTTTCTCCCGAGGCATTTTAACTCAAAATAGGGTATTCCTTGCGACCATCTCTCACCTCTTTCAGGTGATCATTTTCAGATTCCCGTGACCATCTTCCCTCTTAATTTCCGCCCTATTATCTCCACTTATTTCCATGCTAACCCCACTCGCTTTTTAGCAAAATATTTTTTGGCCAGATCCAAGCAATGATAAAAATTCTTCAATAACTATTTATGCATTATTTATGATTCACTACTTGATTTCAGAGATGCACCGATATAGTTTTTTCGCTCAAAAAGAATGCCCCAATACTAATATGGTATTGGTAAATGCCACCGCGATCTAAGTCCGATAACAAAAAATTATAATGTAGTATATTTAATGAAAAAAGGAAAATATATAATTCATCAATATTATTTAATTTATCATTTGTAACTAATTTATCAAATTTATATACGTAAATAAGAAGTTTAAAAAAAATAGGGAAACAACACCCTTCTTTCTTATCAATTTAAAAAATTTGCATATGAACCTTTTTTATAAATTCAGCGCTATGGCAATAAGTAAGGTGGCTAAAAAAATGCTTTAATTTAAATTATTTATTGGATATCGGCTAAAATTATTATTATCGGCCAATACTGTGAGTATCGGCTCGATCGGTACATATCTGTTCGATTTATTACTTTAATAAATTTATAAAATTTTCATGCAGCGGTCCCGTCCGTCCTTGAAAATTAGTTTAAAAAATTGTTCTTCATAATGTGTCCAAAAGACGCACCGTCATAAGACCCCTTTTTTAGTTATTTATACTTTTGTGCGTATAATTTGTTATACATTAATTTATTACTTGAATATTAAGAAACAAAATGTTTTTGTATGCGTCCGATCCTCCCGGTAGGACGCGTTCGGTAATTTTTAATTATTACAAGGTGAGTTAAACTAACGATATAATAGATTGGACAGGACAAGTTTCTACTGTGACTGGATCACATATAGCTCTGATTTAAATTAATATAAATAATGATAATAAGATTTTAACATTATTAGTCCAGAAGTAACTATAGATATTTTCATTTTAAAAAATTTTGCTTAGAATTATATTATTTTGAAAATCATTTCTATTTACATACATTTATAAACGCTCTATCTAGCAAGGTTGAAAAATTAGATATAAATTGGATGCCAACGGATTTAATAGAATTTAGCAGTCTAAAACATTACAAAGATGATATATGGACTCAAAACTTTTTTTGGAAACCAAGGAAAAAATTAAAGGAGCATATAACTATAACTATCGTAGCCATTAGTACAACGGGGTTAGTATTTTTATAATAAAAAAGATTTATGTAAATTAGTGCTACCTAATAAATAATAATGTTTTTTTCAGGGGTCTGGAACAAACTGCGTTAATCTAACTTCAATCCGGAAGATTCCTAAAAAATTATCAATAAGTGATGCAAATTATATTCACATTTTATTTGTATTTTATATTAAATTATTAGAACCAACAGGGGAGTGGCAAGGTTATCCTTGGGGAGGGGAGTTTAAAAAAAATTTGCGCCGATTTGTGCAGTCTCTGGCCAGATCCCTCCTATGAAAAATTATATCTTATTGACTTGTGGTTATTTTCCGTTATGTGGCTGAACAAATAATCCTAAATATGCGAATGTTTTGTTTAGTGTCTGGCTTTAACAAGTATTGTAAACAAGTATAAATGAAAAAATTATTAGTAGTAAAAATATGATCAACCTTACGATTAACAAGAGACTGAAAGCATTATTCTGAAAATTTTATCAATGTTTATTGCATAATTGTAAATTTATTAATGCGTTTGGTAGAGAGTAGAAAGAAAGAAAAATTGATATTATGCTAGAATGGAATATAAAAAAAAACTATGCCTGGGGTAGTGGTCTGCATCGGGCCTAGTTTTTCAAGCCCGGCCCGACCCGAAATTTTTTTAAAAATGTTTTGCCGGCCCGGCCCGAATTTATTTAAATAGAGAAATTAATTTTTATAATTACTCAAAATAAAAGACATATGTTATATGTTGTTTAGTTTCAATAAATAAAATAAAATATTTTTATTTTACATAAAAAATTCAATATAAAATTGATAAATTTAAATATATTTTAAAAAAATTTCCGATTTTTATAAAAATATTAGGCTCGGCCCGAATTTTTATAAAAAATATTAGGCCCGGCCCGAACCCGATTATTTTAAATAAAATTAGGCCCGAGCCCGGCCGGGGTACGTGCCGGGCCTAATTTTGCTGATCTCTAGCCTGGGGTGCTTTTAGTGTCTGACATGTACTTTTAATTCTTTAATTAAATATGAGCTACAAAAAGAAACCGTAAAAAATTGAAAACTATGACGTCACACTTTAAGCGTAAAGTTAGCAAAGATTTTAGAAAAATTTGAAACTTATATCAAACCATTAAGTAGTGCTTTATTAGAACATTTTATTGTTTTATTCTGTTGGTGGATTGAAAGGAGAAAAGAATTATTAGTAAAAAATAAAATGTCAAAATTAGCATCATGCCAGAACGGATAGAAGTAATAACTATATGGTTTACGCTAATGTTTAAAGCCTTACTTATTAATCGTTTAATCAATTTCGGCAGTCACAAAAAAAGTAAGAAGCATATACAAACTATACGTAAAGTCATCCAAAGATATGGAGGCATTATCTCTAAATTTATATCAATAATTAACGCGTCTTACTTTTTAGTGCTTCAACCCTTTTGGTAAATTGCATAAAGAAAAACATTGACAAATAAATTGCCAAGATTGACGTCTTGTTAGAAGGAAAATTATAGAAGCAATGAACAATATATATATAGGGCATGATTAATACCTAATTCATCAATCAAATTTTCTAATCAATAAATAAAACCCAGCTATAAGTTATATAAAAACTACACCAAGCATCGGCTGGGTTTTAAATAACAAATTTTAAAATACAATTACGTCACATTAAAGTTTCTCCGCGATTCATAATATATTTGAATCTTATGATATTATCTTTATAAGATGTTGTTTGTTCTTTTCAGTTTATTTAATAGATACCAATATATATATTTAATTTATAAAAAAAAAAGTGAGTGGGAGGTCGCCCCCCCCTCCCTTTTTCTAAGCCATTGAGAACAGAGCATTAATATATTCAAAAGAATATATATTTTTCATTAAAGTGTAGTAAGTAAAATTGAGTGTGTCATAAGTGTTCGTCGAAAAAATGAAAATATAACTTAACGCTTAATATGTGTTTTTCTAAGCGCTTCGGAACAAGTTAAGAATATACCATTCCACCAATTATTTAGTCTCGTTCCGGATCCCTGGTATTTTTAATATATATCTTTTTAAAAACATAAAAATTGGTAATTTTATGATTTTTATATTTTTAAAAAAGATTAAGAAGTGATCCAATATTCGTAACATTAGCGACTGAAGGTAATCATTTTGAAGATTAAAAAATTATTTTTTATAATGTATATAATTAGTTAGCATAGATGATTGTTATATTGAAGAAAGACAAGAATTTATAAAATGGAAGGTGGGATGAAACTGATTAAATTATATTTTATTAATTACTATATTAGAGAGAATTAATCTGAATATTCATTGTAAAATCATGGTAGCTTTAAAAAATATATCAAATATAAATATATCAAAGAGAAATGTAATAAAACGTATTCAAAAATAGATACAAAGGAATGCATTACCTCAAGACTTGGGTTTCTTAGATGGATAAATGGGAAATAACTATTTCAAAAAGATTTAGATCATCAATTATTTATATATTGTAGTTGCATAATAATGATTAAAATGTTATAAGTTATCATACAATTAAACTTATGGATTTTATTAATATATAAGAAAAAGCTTGAGGAAAAAAATGATGATCAAGCTAAACATTTTTCAATTAACTAATCCTATAGTATAGAATAAAAAATATAAATTTTAAAAAATTATAGGTTTTTGTAAAAATCGTGAGAATCCAAAATTGCCATTATTATTTTTAAAAATATATTATTAGTAGTATAGTTATATTTTTTGGAATGTAGCGACAAATGCAACTATATAACTAGAAGTTACTTTTAAAATGTGCTAAATAATATATATCATTTATTATCTTTGTATGATGATTTCCCTAATTCTAAATTAGTTCTTATTAAATATAACGTCTCACTTAAATAAAGCGTTCTTGCAGATAGTTGGTTTGTTTAGTAAGTATATTTTGAGAAAAACTGAGACACTTTTAAAATAGTTTATTTAATTTCCTTTGATCAAAATGTAAAAATTTTATCAAAAATGATGGGTTATATAAATTATATATAAAAAAGTTAATGTGGCTAGCTACTTTTAAAATAATGAACGAGTTACCTTTTTAAGGATGTAACTATTAGTAATTAATTACTTTCCAATTGTGTAGAATCTGATTCAGGTATGTCCCAACTTTTAAAAAAATGTTTTAAATTATTTAGTAAAAAATTTTAAATTTTCTAGAAATAGTTTACATAAAATAGCACGTTTGAAAAATCTCGGCCAAAATATCTAAATATTTTATTTTCCTAAATGAGTTCACAATTTTATTCGTTTATTAACAAATAACACATCAAAAAAATGAGCGAATCATAATTTTGAACTTTAATTTTTCGGATTCACCCGATCAGTCAAAAAAGTATTTAATTTTTTTTCGGATTGGACCGGAAAAATAAGCCAAATGCAGAGCTCTAATATATATTAAATTACCTAACCCCCAATATAATTTATTTTATTGTGATTTAAAAATCAACTTTATTTGATACAAACTAAAGGATTCAGTTCAGATTTCAGACTTTATTATATAAAATTAAATATCTTATGAATAATTTTATATTATATATCATTAAAAATATTAGATTCAAAGCATGTTTAGTTTAGCTTGTACATTAACTTGACATTGCAGTAATTTCAAGACGTATAATATCATCATCATATCCTATTATATATTTGAATAAAAGTTTAATTACACAACAAAATTAATAAATTAGTGTTGTTAAATAGTCGAGTTTTTCGATTCTAAACTCGAGCCGAAGTCATAAAAAACGGCTGACTCGAGCGGCTCAATGAGCTGACTCCTGAGCGAAATATTAATCTTATGTTTTTGTGATCTATATTTTCTTAAAATGTAGAAATTATTTTTAAAAGTAAAATATTCTTAAATAATCCAAACAAAGTATTAGACTAGAGTGGTAGAATTTTAAATATATTTATACTTGTAGTTAAAAATAAGGAGGTTAGCTACCTAAGAGTTCTGGAGCTCACTCATGTGGTTCAAGCGAAAGGATTCTGCAACAGGAGACAATATGGATGTCAAATAATTTAACTTTGTTGATATTCAAGATATAAATGTCAATATGTGAATTTGTTTTTAATATGGCCTAATGTAATTTTTTTTATTATTATTTTATATTAAATATCTATATGCATACCATGTTATATGGAAAAAAACAGAAATAAAAAAGAAAGTTAATATTAAAAACATAAAAATAATGAAAGCGAGGAAAAAATTTAATTTTAATATTATAAATAAAAAATTTCAAACACATTTTATGAAGAATAGTAAAAAAATATATTAAAATATTTTAGATATTAACCCTGCACTACTAACACTACACATTCGTAAAAATTACGAAGATATTTGGCAAATATCCAAATTTATATATTTTGCAAATAATAATTTTTTTTCATATTATTTCTAAAATATTAAAAAGCTATTTTCCCATAAAATATCATCCTTTTCTGTATTAGATTAGAACACTTCCCTCGTAAAGAATACGAATGATAAGTAAAAACCGAAGTATTTTTCATCACTTTAAGACCCTCTATACGGTCATATCGGAGATATTCTAGAGAAAAACTCATCGAAAGAAAGAGAAAATCTTTATCAATCTATTCGTAATATATGCAAGTTTTGCCCATCAAAATTGAGGCGTATGACAACAATCTGCGGACACTACAAAAAAGGCATGTATCGGGCACTTAACATCATGCTGTCTGCGATTTTTATAATAAAATTTTATTTTATAAGAACATATTTTTATTCAATGATGTTTTATAAAATTTTTTACAATAAAAATTTTGTCTATTGGTCCTAAAATTATTTAAAATTTTATATCACCGTAATTTTTACTATGATTAGTATTAAAGTAACTTGTTCATAAGATTAATAGTGCAGGGTTAATCGATTTTTCTCTCAATTTGCTGAGTGAATTATAAGTAATAGAGTTTCATAAAATTAAAAGTATTTAATTAAATTTTTCCCCAATCTCCTCTATTTTGGCAGGGGTGGCTTTAAATCTAATTTTGTTTTATTTGGTAATCGTAAAGGATAAAATTAATTTTTCATATCAAACATGTCAGCTTCTATTTTTTTTTATCTTGAGAGACAAACTAATTATGAAAGGGTTGTCAGGTTATAAATGCAATGCTTTCTTTACCTAATTTAATTATATATAAAAAATTTAAGTAAAATAGATGACGCGCACTAAAAGAAAAATTAAATTTATATGTTTTTGTATTTTTAATTTAAAATGTACTTTATTCTTAAAAGTAAAATATTCATAAAATTATCCAAAACAAAGTATTAGACTAGAGTGGTAGTTTTTAAATATATTTATACCTGTAGTTAAAAAATATTAATACAACCACTTTTAAAATGATTTATATAACATTCATATAAAAAATATTTAATTTTTACATCATATTTTATCAAAAAATAAAGAAATAAAATGCATAAAAAAATATTAAATCTAAAATAAAAAATCTTTGAACTATCTTCCCAAAATTATCGAAAATTCGAAAGAGATTATTTACAAAAAAAATCCAAAAAAATTTCAAACAATTGAAATATATTTTATTTTAATTTTTATATCTAAAAGATAAATTATTATTATGTATAAAAAATTTAAAAATAAAAAAAATATACATGAGGTAATTTAACATGGTACACTAATTCTAGATCATTCATTATATTCTTTATAAATATTTAAACAACAAATGAATGTTGGCTCGAATCAAGAGTCGGCTGAAAAGACTCATTGAGCTACTCTAGTCTGAGCCGTTTTTACGACTAAAAACTCGACTCGAATTTAAAATGAAAAATTAATAGAAATGAAGTATTAAATAAAATTCACACATTAAAATCTATTCTTAAAAAAATTACTTTCATGTTTCCTTTAAACAGTTCTTCAAATTGGCCCTTTTCCATGATGGGTACACATCCAATCAACTCTTTAAGAGTTCGTCCTAAGTCAACCAAATCCACCGAACCCCCAAAAGATGATGTATCCACTTTACCATTGTAATTAATGTTTAAATTATTACTGGCATTGTTATTATGACTTTCTGTGTATTTCTTAAGAAGCTTTAATTTTTCGATCATTTCTTCCAGGGCCATACTTAACTTGGACAGGTCTGAAGGATTTACGGGAAACACCGTTTTTGTTGGGAGACGAGTGGGGTTATTAAAATTAACGGCATTATAGTTTGATAAGGATGGAGAATCAGAGTTTGATAGACCTAAATTGACAGCAGGACTAACTTGGTTAGTTATCAGTGTATTAAGTAAACGTTTTTCATCTTTCACCAAAGTATCAACTGATAAGATAAAAAAATTTTTGTTTAGAAATGTAATTTAGGATATATGGCAGAGGCCTGCAGGGCCTAAAAATTTTTTTAAACATCTGCTGGGCCCCAATTTTTTTTAAAAAAAATACCTGGGCCAGGCCTTATATTCTAAATCGCTATTATTAGCTATAAATATTAAAAATAAATATAATATATATTCACCAGGCCAGGGTAAAAAATTCTTTAAAGAAATTTTATTTAATTAAATTAAGTTTTCACAAAATGAGATATAAAATTAAAATGGGGTAGTCTCAGTTCATGCCAGCTGCCAGTTTAACTTAGTAATTGTGATTTAAAACTTAAAAAATGCATTAAGACATATAAAAGACCTGGTCTAGAGTGGGCAGCTAAATTGTTTACATTTAAAACGGGTCTGGCAGGGCATGGGGAAAAATAAATAACCAAGCTATGCCTGAAAATACTTTCTTTACAAAACCCAGATCAAGACTATTTTTAATCAGTTTTATTTAAATTCATCGAATAATCAAATGCACAGCTTTAAACTAATTAGTTATAGTTTTAAAATTGAACTGCAATTAATTTAATCAAAATGCACAGTATTTTTTTCAATAGAAACTATCACATATCTGTTCCATGTTTTCCCTAAAATATTACATAAAATGCAGCATATATAATAATCCTAACCAATATCTCTCTAATCTTTAAACCTATTCAGTACCACCTTCAATGGGGTTATTTTCTAAGAAAAACTGTACCAATTCGACTCAACTTACTAATCTTTTATAATAACTGTTGATTTTTTATCTAATTTTTCAAATATCAACTATATAAAATATAAATTATATTATAAAAAAGAGGGAAAACATATTCAGTCTCTAAAAAGAGAAGTAATTATAATTAAAAATCTCTATTAGCATTTTTTGTCTAAAAATTTTTTTTACCTCCAATGTTTGAATTCAGTTATGATTCAAAGTTTATAAAAAAAAATGTAAGTGTTCAGTGCATATTTATCTCTTGTTTCTGCTATACAAGTGTCTTATTATTAACATTTGTGGGGAATGGTAATGCAAGTATAATCCAAGGTGAGAGATCTATCCATCGCCTATAAGATAGTTGTGAGGCTATCAGGCCAAAGTCTGATGAAAGGTTACAAGGTAAAATATTGGGGATTAAACCATTTTTTAGGTATAGGCTGAGAATTTTATTTATTGATGAATGGTGCTGTTGAAGGCTCTGACTTTTAATACAATGTAACCCAAATTTACCCTTAGCACTGATGGAAAGTTGCAATCCAGACAAATATGAGGTTGGACTATGCAGTAGGCAAGTCTACAACCAAGGGTAAACTTAGTTGTTCATTAGTTAAGAGGTTCCTGTGAATTTTAATAAGTAATGATTTCACATGTCCAATTACTTTATCATAATTTTAAAAGAGTTTGATGCCTTCAAGAGGAGAAGATAAAAATAAAATGGAATAGGATTTTAAAATTAAGGGCTAAAAAATTGTTTTTGAGAGTTATATAATAACAGGAAAAATTGCATCTATCATAAATATTGTTCTACCAAATATCTAGAGCCTGATCCAGCAGATTATCATTAGAAAAGATTAAGTTGGATTAGCAAATTGTTTAATAGATGGGAAGAGAGGGGCAATTTTTATTGATATTTTGCTGAAAAGACATATTTCTAATATATATTTTAGGGTTGGGGCTCAGGTCAGACTACCTCTTACAGCTGAAGAAAAAAGTCTTCAATGTCCAAGCCAAACCCAACCCTAGCGGGCTTAGGGCAGTCCATAGAGGCCTCTAAATATAAATAGCCATATAACTCATATTAAAATTTTTGAAAGAGGAGGTATAAAACTATTTAAAATCAATTCATGGTATTTTAAACGATTTATACAAAATCATCGATGAGGATTCAGAATATTTCAAAGTTAAATCATCTACGAGGGCAATTTTTAATTTTATAAAATCTTATTTCACTGGAAACAAATTTTATAAAATCTTATTGGAAATAAATTTTAGCATGCGTAAAGTACCTATCTTTATATGTATCTCCATATATTTTTTTTAATTTATGTAAAAAATCAAATAAGATCAAAAATTCATGACAAAATTGTCTGATCTTTATAGGGCAAGTTCTAAACATATCATAATACAATTTGAATCAATTAAATTTAACAGTTCCACTCGTAAATTATTTAAAACTGAGATACCAGATCCTCAGGTAAGAATTCCACATAATGACATCAATAAATGGTTAAAAGAAGCCTATTTTTGTACCTTTAATACCTATTTTCTCAGATAATTGCTAATAAGCTAAAATTAAGTTTTAGTCATAAATATAGGACATATAAATCTGCCTACAATTTTTTGTTAAAATTAAGAGAAGGTTGGCTGAAAGGTGCTTGATTTGACATGGTATAACCCATACCTCAACAAATAAAATTTTACCCAAATTTCAAGTAGTAAAATAGTGACTAATTTGAAATGGAATGGACCCATTATGGGAAAATGATTGAAATTAATCTCAGTAGTGAAAATTCACTATCAAAGTTTATACAAGGTTTTAGAGTATTATTTATATCCAAATCTACTACAAAAATCCATTAAAAAAGTTGTATTATACTATAATAATGTAATAAAATTTCAAACTTGCTATTTTTTCACAAGGATAATTGACAATAGTTATATCAATAGGCATGAACATCGAACCAAACAATTTTTCTGGTACTCCCATGTTTTGACTAATTATATAAGAAAAAATAATTTTAAAATATGATTTCTTTGTATTTTAAGTAATGGGTTAAACTTACTAAAAAAAATATTTATAAAATCTTTTCAATCATGGATCTAATTATTAACAAAAATTAAAAACTATACCCAGAGTTGGGTAGTACCATGAATACTTGTACTCAGTATCTTTTTGACATTTTTAATAAGATACTAGTATCTATCTAAGATCATTTATTCTGAAGAGAATCTTGTATCTTTTTTATGTTCCTTTCCTTGACAAAAGATACAGATTCTTTTTAATATTCATGTTTAAAATTTTACATATCACAATATATATCTTATTTTCTTCGAGATTCTTAGATTCATTTCCTTATTTTTCTCCACCATATTTTAAATATAATGACAATCAAAATTAGCTGGAAAATTTACAACTCATATTAAGGTAGACAATATATAAAACGAATTATTTGTTATTCGATACTCGATTCGTATTTTACGAATACGAATAACACAATTATTCGATTCGAAAATACGAATCGAATAAGGAAAATATATTATTCGTCGAATAATTTTTTTCTATTATTCGATCGAATTATTCGAGATTATTCAACTAAAATAATTTATAGTATTATATTAATAAATGTTGAAAAATAATTATATATATTAGATAATTAGGAATTACTTGAAATTATTCTTATTTAATAAAATTTCCTAGTGGAATATGAAGCATTTTATATTTTAAAAATTTAAAAAACTTCATAATCCAAAACAACTTCAGAAAATTCTTTTATGGACGAAGGTATTTATTTTACGGAATTAATAACACATACATAATTATAATAAACTAGTAGCTATCCCGTCAAGAATGACGGACGATGCAGATATTTCTCCTTTGTTTGATGATGGAGAAATCATAAATTTTACTTTTTGCCTAAATTTTTATATTTGTAAAATATTGCTAGATGTGAGTTTTGTATTTTTAGATTGCATAGCTTTTTGACGAAATTATTCCCTACAATTATTTGTTCTCATATACAAGATACTAATAATCTAATAAGTTTTTTAAAATAATGTTGTAAGTAATTTATAAATTTTATGAACAGTGTTTTGAATTAAAATCTATAAATCCAAATCATTTTTGTAAAAAATATTTTATAAATAAATCTGTATAAAATTTAATATAAGTACATGTATTAGTATTTTTTAAACTTATATCAAAATTCATTAAAATATGTATTATCATTTTGTGATAAATTTTTTAAAAGCTATCATCTCATCTACATTTGGTGATAGTATAAACTCTGAAGTATAGTTAATTAATATTTTATAATATTATTTTAATTTATATACAACAAAACAATCAAGCTTAAATTTATTTTATTATACATAAAATTCTGATATTATAATTATAGGATCTGATGATTTTAACATATATTTTATTGATTAACCTATTGCCCATTTGGCCATGTATAAATTTTATAATAATATTTAATTTATTAAATAGATATTCATCCCATTGGTATAATGGATATTTCTGAATCAGAAAGCAGTGGAGAACAAAGACAATATTCATCCACATCAAATTCTATACAGTCGGGAGGACGGAAAAATGCAGATATATGGAAACATTATATTTACCAAGCATCAACAGAAACTGCTAGATGTAAGATATATCTGCTATATTAGATCCCAGACTTAAATTGGAATTTTTTGAGTGCCTACCTCCGTCTTATAATATCTACATTACAACTATATTAAACAATTTTAAGAAAATGTTCGACGATTATAAAATAAAATATGATGTATCAATATGTCAACCATATATACAATCAAATATGGACGTGATTTATAAACAGAATATAATGCCAATTTCTGAAATTAAAACATATTTAAAAGAAGCGAGAATCACCTCGAATAAAAATCCACTAGAATGGTGGAAATTACACGGAGATCGTTTTCCCGTTTTATCAAAAATGGCGAGACATATTGTTACAAGGATCTTCAACGCCATGTGAGTGACTCTTTTCTGTTGGAGCTCATATGGTAACCAAATATAGAATGTAGCTACAAGAGGATACAATTCGAAAAAAGTGTTTGATGAATTGGTTGTTGTCAGATATGTCCTATACATGATATAAATATTATATTTATTTTTCTACATTATATATAAATATACTAAATATGTATGCTTCTATTTTCTTACTAATAAAATTTGTTTGTCTTTTATCCATAGTTAAATTTTACAAAATAAATTTAATATTCTATCTTTTTAATTTATGGTTAAATAAAATTTTCGAATTGAATCGAATAATCATTTTATTATTCATACGAATTATGAATTATTCGATTTAAACGAATACGAATAATTCCATTATTCGATTCGATTCGTATTTTTGTAGGTATAAATATAATCTCTACTTATTTCATTTTGGTGTTATTTTTTTATATATTTGTCACATGTAATAGCTGTTGACCTTATATCTATGTTATAATTATTATTCTATAAAATGTTTTATATATGTTTTCTCCTGAATGGGAATTTGTAAATGGAATAATGTCGAATAATACAGATTTTAGTACCCATTCATCATCAATATAATGGCAGGTTAAACCTAAGAATGAGACATTTGTTGGACTTGACCAAATATCTATTGTAAAATTTTTTTGTGATATTGTATTTTTTATTTAATTTTTTTTTCATCACCAAAAGATTCATTTATATATTGTTTTAAGTAGGAATTGAACATATTTTAATGTTAGGGTTTAATACTTTAATAAAATATTTAAATTCATTTGTTGCAAGGATTTTAAATGGAATATAAGATTTGATCAATTTTAATAAATAATGTTTGATATCATTATTGTTGTGCATATGATTATTATTTAAATCATTATTAATATGATTCAATAAATTTATTATTATAGGTTTTTTGGTGGAATCGTTTGTTATGATAAATTAAAGCTGAAGTAGTTTTTTTTTACACTTTATTTCAACCAGACGATTCTTACATCTAACAGTTTCTGTTGATGCTTTGTAAATATAATGTTTCCATATATCTGCATTTTTCCGTCCTCCTGACTGTATAGAATTTGATGTGGATGAATATTGGCTTTGTTCTCCATTTCTTTCTGATTCAGAAATATCCATTATACCAATGGGATGAATATCTATTTAATAAATTAAATATTATTATAAAATTTATACATGGTCAAATAGACAATAGGTTAGACAGTAAAATATATGTCAATATCATCAGATCCAATAATTATAATATCTAGTTTGAAGCGTTCGTGAACGAAGTTCGTTTTTTTGAAAAAAATGATGAACGGCGTTCTTTTTATTTTTGACGAAATTTGAACGTGAACGCGTTCCTTTTTTATGACGAACGCGTTCGAATTTAACGTTAGTTCAATTTTAAAAATATTTTTATTTTTTTAAAAAATATATTTCCGATTTTTTTTAAAAAATGCATTATTTATATTTTTTAATCGGCTGTGTATTTACTTTTCACATTTCAATTTTTTTAACACATAGTTTATTCATTTGAATATTATTGTTTATATTTTAATTTAATAGATTAGCATAAGCATGGGTATTATTATTTAATCCTCATCATCTGATTCTGAAAATCCAAAATCAGATGAATTATCATTACTATGGCCAAATATGATAAATGTTTTACATTAACAACCTATATTGAAGGAACTAATCCAATGCTTACCAAGTGTAAAATGTGGCCAAAAAGTTTTATATTGTCAAAATCTTCAGGTTCCAATTTAAAACGACATTTGATTTTAATATTAATTATTTGATTTTATATGATATAACTAAGTTAAATCATTAAATTTGAAGAAATAATGCATTTGGGATATTTTACCCCAACAATAGCGATAGTTATTTTAAAATTAAAAAAATTAGTGGCCTCAAATATGAAAACCATTGATAGACGCCGTATTAAATGGGATTAATAAAAGGTATTAAACCTATCATTCTCAATTATTACATATATTTTATTTTTTTAAAGATTTGAACATATATATAAGGATCAATATGTTCTTTCTGCAATTATATATCCAGCATTCAAACTTCAATGGCCATGAATAAAACTTCCACAGAACGAACCTATTAAAAATAAACTTATAGCGTTATTGAAAAAAATAGTTTGAAACCCCTAGAGAACTGTTAATTTCGAGATTACCTTTTTTTTGTCGAGAGTAGAGAATGGATTGGAGGAGGATAAAGTATCTCAATTTTTTGCAAATAACAAAACAATGTTTTTAATTAATTCTCCACGTTAAAAGAGCTGTTTATTAAGTATCATACCGCAATCCCCTCATCTGCTCCTGTATGGCGTGTTTTTAGGCGTATGCTGTATTAACTGCCAAGTGTTCCTGTCTATCAGATAAATATTTTGAAAACAATTGTTATTAAAATTTAATAAGAAAAAATTTTTATAAATAAAAATATCTTTTTATTCGCTATATTATATTATATTTTATTTATAATTATATTATAAAACTATATTATTTTTTAACATGGCTATTGTATTAAAAATGATAAGTTTATTTATATTAAATTAAATTTTAAAAAAATTTATCATAAAATTTTGAACGGGGTAATTCCATGACAAATCGACCAGTGATTCGGCCGACCATCTCAAAAATGAATGAAACTTGGCATAGTTATTTATGTTGTAAATGATAATAAAATCCAAATTTTAGAGCCCCAGCTCAACCAGATCCAAAGATATACGCCTTCAAAGTAGAGAATCGCGTAATGCGTGATTTCTTATATCTTGTTTTTCTTAAAAAATACTTAAGATAGAATTACAAATAATATATCACTTTATAGCCCTTAAAATTTTACATTGGAAAATATTGAAAAAAAGTTTAAAAATTATAAGCGTTTTTGTATTTCCAGTAAAAATAAAAAATTAACATTCCTGGGAAGGGATTTTTTTTTGGTGTTGATACTCTCTAAAAATATTTATTACCTTTATATTAAACTATT